CGCACGCCGCTAATGCCGCCGTAAACCGCCCCTCCCGCCCGGAACATTGATGCGGCGGCATGCGAGACGCGTACCGACCTCCCCCCCGTAATTGCTCGAGCGCAGCTCTAACGTGTCTTGAGATCGTTAACGCTAATTGCAAATTTTTAATGTGCCGACGGCAAGACCCCAACAAAGGTCACATTACATCTGAAGGGCTTGCAGATGGCGTGCAGTCATCATAAATCATTTCCACCGACCGGACTGGAACTCTCTGTAAACACAGCGGTTAAAGGGACGTCAGGGTGCCCTGAAGTTTTACAGTTTCCACAGCAAGTTGACTCAGTCTTTCAGCTTGTTGTAGAAGGATTTCAGGTAGATAATTACATGTACAGCCAAGCTGTGATTAAATGCAGGATTGTAAAACAGCCTTGTAAATAGTACTTGAATGTCTACAATAGTGCAATGAAAATATGACTAGGAAAACCAGTATCACTGGTTGCTATAGGAAAGGAACAGCCTTGCTGACAAAGCTAATACTGGACATGGAGTTTGAACACAAGAGATTTAGTTATCTCTTAGTTCAATACAGAAACCTGCATAGAAATGCTTTACTCAAATCTACAGATTTCTTGGATAGTCCAGTGGTTAGCGACCCTGTCTCTTGATCTAGATGTTGGGAGTTTGAATCCCGCCTCACCCAACATGCTGCTGGGAAGGGTCTCAGTCTTTAGAATGTGGTGTTAAGCCATGGTCCACTGTTACAATGAACCTATAAATACTGGACATGGCTTCTGTCTTCTCAGTCATGACCAGTGGAAGAGTAGCTCTTCAGTAAGGTAAACTAGTGTGAGATCACTTAAATTTTTACTTTCTAATTGCTAACATAAAGTGGCTTCTCAGTCAGGCAGGTAGAATCTGAAAATACACACAGAAGGATCAATCCAGAATCTGATGATTCCCCTACAGCGAAAAACGATTGATCAGCCCCAGTCTGTATTGATCTGAAAGGTGCAGATGGTATCGAGCGAGGGGCTGGTCTATCAGCTTTGATGTGAGTGTCACCGACTCAGAAACAAGGATGGGTATGGATTTTAAGGCGGGGGTATTTAAATGCACCATTTAAGATGGATTGCTACCCGTGAATGCGCTGATTCTTTTCCAAATCTTGAAAATTACATGTCTTCTTGCATTAGACCCTCTATAAACAATTGTATTGTAGAGTGTCTAAAAATGCACTCATGGCCAAAATTTCTCCATATTTTCATGTCATAAGAAACCTTTAACCAACTATGCAAGAAATCAACATATTATTTGTGAAAAATTAAGCATTACATTCAGATAGCTTACATGTATGTGAGTCATTTACTGATACATTTGTGTAATTGGATTTTATGGAACACAAATATGATTTTACTCTATTCTGTTGGCAAAACACAATTGAGTTTTCTGTGCAGAAATTCTTGAGAGATTTCTCCACATACTTTCAGATGACCAGTATGGTACACACCCTACTACAGAGGGATGACAAAGCGGTCCTCGTCAACCTGACGGACGAACGACACGACATGGTAAAATGGAAGACAAAACTATAGGAACGGTCAGATTGTTGCCTATAATTTGTAAAGAGGGCAGAGACCAGACATGTGTTTTCTGGTTTTACTCTGTCTTGGGCTCAGAATACTGGGTGTACATGTGCCTTAGTGCAGGTAAAATTGGAGCTATGCAGGTATTTCTAATGTCTACCTGCACCTAATTTCCACATAGGTGTATGTTGGATTTTTATTTTCAGCATTGATTGTTACCAGCAGTGAAGTATAAAAGAAATAAATTGAAATGGTATCTTAACAGCTTTTGATATGATCCATACTTCTTAAAGTCTGAGTGCAGGTAAAATTTGTCTGGTGCAGCTACATGTAGTTGTTAATGTTACCTTGTATGCAAAAAAAAAATTATTTTAAGCCCTACCCATTTTTTATATGTCTGTAACATTTTTAATGTAAAATCACATGTTTCCGTCCCAAATTGTTTTTTCGTGAATCAGCCAGGCTTCTTGCAGTGTATAACCAGATTACTTTGATCGATCTTCACACCCAGGGGGAGGTAGATGTGATACTTAATGCAAATATGCCCCAATTTCACCCCCACACCATGTAGTTAGGATGAAAGACCTGGATGAGATGGAAGCTTCAGTCCACTTAATTTGAAATCCATGATGAGAGGATGAGTCACACAATTCACTTTGAAACAAAAAAATGTTCAACCTTCAGAATGCTAAGGTAGCTGTTTGGCACCAGGTTTGTATTGGTTATGTGGATATAGAAGGGATAAGGTTAAAGAAGTACAGACTCCTGTAATTCTCTTTTATTATGTTTGCAGTTTCAAAAGTTCACAGAAAAATGGATGTGTTCACGGAACTGTATGTTAACGGTGGCGGCAGGTGCAGGAAAAAGAAATTGTACTATAAATATTCGAGAATTACAGTACTATAAACCTTTAAATTTTTGGGGTGGTTTAATTTTTTGCATGGACCTCTTCACCACGAATTTGTGGCACCCTGAATATCAATTTTTAGTATGATCTACCGTAAAAAAGTTGTATAAACAGCAAATTTAAATCAGCACAAAAACCTCCTTCAACGAAATAAAACTACTGCAAAGAAGTGAATAATTTCCCAGTATACATGTAATGACAGGGCCTAATGATATGGTTATGTAACATTCTCTGGAATTTTCCTAGAACTGATTTGTACAAAGTAGGTCCATCAAGACTTGAATCTGTATTCAGTTTTGTTGAATGCTTTCCTTTGCTGACCTTTCCATGTAAGACGGTGGCCTCCTTGCCATGGATAATTTGGTCAGCCAGCTAAACCAATTACTGCATCAGAGGGAATCATCAATAAGGCTTCATTTTCTCGATGATTTCATCCAATTTTTCCCTGCCTGCCTTGTGTGTCTGATGTTTGCAAACCAGAGCCTTTGTTGCTTGTAGTTCTGCACAGCTTTTGAATTAGGTTATTCAAACATACTTAATATACAGTCATTGTGATTTAGTCTGATCTTTTGTAGTAGACAGTGGGCTTTCCTATTGCATGTCCCATTATACAGTACATGTATCTGGTTCCCAGAGAAATTTCTGTTCTATTTTTTTACACAGAAAATAGCCAGAGAGTTATATCATGGGATTTAATATAGCATAAAGACATACACAATTGCAATCAACAATTGGTTCTTATATATCCAGTTTTAGAAGGGACTGTGAAAATTCCTACTTTACTACATGTATAATCTAGGTCTATAATGTACCACTAAAACCAGCAACTTAAATGTAATTTCTGCTAGCTTACATCAATACATGCATCTAAATACAGCTAAGTGTAGAAACCTATGGGCTTTTTTTAGGCTTGATGTTGACCTTTTAGCAGAGGTCAACATGTTTGTTCTGTCTATAGAAGTGACATCACCACCTGTCCAAACATAAGCTTCATTGTTGTAGTCCTTATTCTGTTGCCATGGCAACACAAGAAGTGGGCTCACATGTATTCTTACCACTCTCACTGGTTCCTTAGGAAATGGACTGGTCCACTCTGAGTAAGGGGGTACTATCTGTTTTTTTTAAAAGAACAAATGGTATAAAATAGCCTCATAATATTTTGGGGTTAAAAACACATGCTTATCTTCCAGTTTCCTAATTCAGACTTTTAGAAATATCAGTTATTATAACTCTGCAATACGTAAAGCTTGGTAATAGAAAATAAAGGAGCATGACACATGCATATCTAACGACGTGTAAGAATGAATTGGTTAGTTGTCATGGAGTATTGGTTTTAGTTGAGAATGAATTTTGATTGATGTTCATGAAAGTATAATATATGGCTCTGCCTTTGCTAATTACTGTTTTTATCATGTTCTAATATACAGCATGTACATTTTGTAAGTGATATTTTGGAAAAAGAAAATGAAAAGTATATTCAGGAATCTGCAACACAGTCCTGTGTAATAACAGTTGTGTATTGTTTGATACTCAGACTGAAATAGATCGAAAATACAAATGGCATTTTAATGAGACGGTGTCTCAAATTGATCTGGCTAAGTCAGAAGGGACATTGTCAACTAAAACATATGGATTTTTCTCAGGCTTTTATGTTGTTTTCTTTGCAGTTGCTTTATTTTGCAGTTCTAGAATCAATAAAGCACTTGTGTGACCATCATTGTACTATCTTAGTATAGCAACATGTAGTAACTATAGAAGTATATACACAAGTTATACAAATGATTGACAGATTGAAAAGTTTGTATGAAAGAAGGGATCAGTGTTTTGACACTTTAGTTTCCCTCTCCATACGTCAACTGACTTCACGGTACAGAAGGATGGTTTTGCTTGGCTGAGCTGAGGGCTTGTGTATATGATTGCCAGAGTAGGTTGTTAGCACATGGGTTGAGGTATGCAGATTGACAGGCAGAATCACAGGTCAGAAGGTCAGACTCAGAAAATGGGCTGAACATGAAGGTTTCAGAATTGGCTGGGAGCCAGCAGAAATTAGTGGTCGTCAGGAGAATTCAGAAGTCTGAAATCTCTGATGTCTTGTTGTTGTTGTTAATTCAAATGCTGTATCAAAATGGAAATGAGAAAATGCACCCAAGCTCAAACCTTTTACTTGTGTTTCCCCACAGGTCTTGAGAAGGGATCTGAGTACAGCATCCGGATATCCGCACAGACGGTTAATGGCAGCGGACCCCCCACGGAGTGGCACGTGGCAGATACACCCGAAAACGACTTGGACGGTAAGTGGACTCAAGTAGCAACGATTCTAAGTCTCTGGGAATGGCCACTTCTAAAAGGGACATCTTCCAAATTCCATTGGACATAGCATTACTCACAGGACCAGTCTTTTGGGTAAGAAGCTTAAAAGCTGTTACAGCAACAGGGCTGGAAATACCACCTGTATACATGTAAAACTGGAGCTGTGTAGGTATTTCTGATATGTAGTAATTTACCTGCACTGGTTTGTCACAAAACCAGCCCCTGACATTAGGGTGATGTGACTAGTGCTGGCCAAGAACTACCTACCATTCTTGAAGAACATAAGTGACGACAGTAGAGAGCATTTCTTGATGACAGACTACATTTAAAGGTAAAGAAACTGCAGGTAAAACTCGCGTGAAATTCTGCCTGCACCAGTGAAAGTATGTAGAAAGAAGTAACATGATCCCAGACCAAAAAGTGAAGCCAAGAGAGTACCGTTGTGCAAAAAAAAAAAGAAAAAATGCTGACTGATTTGAATGACAGACAGCGTGACGGAGTCCCTGGGTCTATCCCGCGCTCCGGCAGCGTCTGGAGAGGTCTTAAAAGGAGAAGCGACGATTCATCACGCCAGGAAAAGTGGCAACGGTAAAGCTCCAGGGAAGCAAAACAGTTTCCCACGTCACTGAAGCCCATTTCATTTGCCGGATTCTTCAGAAACATCACTAAAAGCCTTCCTAACCAACTGCAGTAATATGTGGCAGGGGAAACCTGGTTAGCTTCTGGGTTCAGCCGTAACGTGGCTCCTCCCAACTTATGGGAATACAGGAATAAGGAATCAGCCGAGTATGGGGAAGGCACTAAGAGGATGAACAAGTGCAGACTGCAGATTTCAGGATAGCGGCTCTTGGAGTTCAATAATCTAAAGCATTAGTGGGTTGGTACTTATCCCAGCGTGCAAGTCAAATGTGGAGTGAGGGATTTCAAGGACTTTTGTATCACCCCGGTGCATTGATTTTATTCCTGAGGTTGTTAGAAGGGTGAAGTAAGAGGATAGGAACTAACAGCACAGTGGGAGTCACAACCGCTTTTGAAATTAGGTTTTTGGAAACTTCAGTGTACATGTTGCATGTATGTGAAATTATTCATGTCAGTTTTTTCCAAGTTAGAGAAAAATAATAATAAAAACACTAGAAGCATTGTTTCAATGGCAAGAAAGCTTCTATTTGCAGAAGGAAAACATATTGGTTTTGCTCAGTTTCTTCTTCTGTTTCAAACAAAGTCAATGACCTGAACCAGACGTCTGTCACCATGGTAACTGGTGCTGTAGCAGACACCCTGTGGTGTTGGGTTACATTATGTAGAAGAACAGAGTAAGAACAAACAGTGCATTGTAAATTGTTGGGCTAGACCAGGTGAAGATAAACATTATCCATTTGCTTTGCAAATGTTACCTTTCTAGTTCCTTATTACATTTCATAGAAAAATAATAGGATGGTTGATAGGTCTTATGGGATTGTCCTAACACATTTATGGAGGATTTCTAAGCCATCTTTGCAGTAAACTGGTTTGCATGGATCCTCAGTGCAAGGGAAGACAAATAATATGATTAAACGATGAGAAGGCGTAGCACCTTGAGTCTGTGTAAGATCTCAATTCCTATGAGAGGTGGAACTAAATCAGTTCCACTTCATTGTACCACATCACAACACTTCTGTCGATGTTTGTCAATGGGCCAAATTGAGAGATTTTATCAGTTTTATCTCCTTTGGCCTCTCAAATTTGATTTGCATTGATTTTGTAGAAAAATTTCCAGACGGCTTTGCTTGTGAATAGGGTGTAGATTTACTGTTGCCATGCTTTAGAAACTGTCGTAAACAAAACACGTCGTGGCCGCGAAGTCATTTTCCCAGACAAAATGGACCTGACTGTAAAGTTTGTTTTATGCTCTCAATTTATTCCTCATCACCAAAGCAACTTGGCAAAGAGGTGTTTATTACTCGGGTATGTGCAGTTGTTACTGCTGCACTCAATACAAGCATGAAACACTCAACTGGGGTGTTTTTAAGAGGATTAGTCGTGCCATTTACTTCAACCTGCATTTGAATCAGAACAAGGGATGCTGCACTAAAATGAAGGTTTTTATCCATGGAGTTATTACGTATTTCAATCTGTCGTACATCCTCCTCATATCTGTTCCCGGCGATATCGTTGGATGCAATCTCGGTTTACGACTCGACTTCCCGCGCAATTGGTCGAAAGGATGTGTCGTTTCTAAGAGGATTAAGTTGTAACTTTTCTCTAGTTATGCCCATGTTGTGGTGGAACAGGGAAGACACTTTTACTACCATGCCAATGATTGAAGCTGGTTTTTCTTTACTGCTGTTGATAATAGAAGAGACAAAATGTCATTTATGGAGGATGACTGCATTGTAAGGGATACTTGAAGTTTCTTTTTTTAGGTTCAGAAATATATTGACACCAAGACCACCACCCCTCCCACACTATGTCAGAAGCAATTTTTAAAAAGATACTCTGTATCAAAGATCTCATAGCTCATTCCTATGAATATTTTAAATGTTGGTAACTGGAGATGGAAGTAGAAGATGATAAAAGAATATGATAAAAAATCATATAGCATTGATGAGTAAAATTTATCCAAGAAAGGATCTTTTAAAAATTATTAGTTATAGAACTCTAAATCAATAATACTTTATTTTGTGACCGTAATGTAAAATGTGTAATAATGATATGAAAACAAGTTTGTTCTATAGTTTGGCGATTATTTGTATAAATTTATATTGTATGTACTACTAGCATTTCTATCATCACCATAGCTATGAATAAGTTATTATAATCATTTTGAGGAGTTTTCAACCTATCAACTACTCAGCGGGTAAAGATGTCTACTGATATAACATATTATTGGCAGTGTTTCTAATATATCTATGTGAATAAATGATTCAAGATCATAGATCATGATAAACATTTCAGACAAGAAATTTCAGAAAATTACTTGTAGCTTTCCATGGTGCTGAAATATGTATTGTTGTGCACCAAGGATTTCCGTTGCATTTTTCTTATCATTTCCTTTAGTGAAGAAAAGTAATACAACAAGCAACTTGTCACAGTATCATTATTGTTTGTAGAACTTCATACTTCAAGGCAAAAACCAACATATTTGAGGAAATTTGGAATGCCGTGTGTGTTATTTATTTTTCTCTCAAGAATGCATTGGATATTCAAATTCAGTAAAGAAGAACAACCAAGCCAAACCAAAAATCTGACCACTTCAGTTTTACTGGCTTTCAAGCTCCTTGTAAAAGTATCCATTAGCAAGGCTCATCTGAAGTCCTGGGCATATTGGCTGCCCTAAAGACCCCTCCATGTTGTTTAGATGAGTAAGTCTCCTTCAATCCAGTCAATAAACGCAGCCCTAAATGAAGGCAGCCCAGAAACAGATAGGTAAAGTAGAGGCATTAAGTGCACTACAGGACAAGTATCCATTTAATGCCAGCGTTTGAGATTTGCTGACAAGAGGGAATCCTACGGGGCTGTTTGGCCTAATAAAGTTAGATATGTGGTCCTGGGTTATTCTAACTAAAACTGTAGCGCAACTTGTGCTATCTTTGTAAAAAGCAGACTTATGTATAGTACATAGTTCATGTTTTTAGTAGGGAATGGCAAAGGCTTAAATTCTTTGGTTTATAGGTGGTGTGTTCAAATCTAGATTGAGTTTAGCTTGAGTTATTCAATTGAAAACACTGTGTTTTTAAAAAAGGAAACTTTCGAAGATTTGAAAGATTTGTCTATTTAGATTTTGGGTAACTTTTACCCACCTGTTATCATTATATTTATGATGATTCTGTATGGCTTTATAAACCCCATAGGTGAAATGTGTAATGAGAATATAAAGCAAAACTTGTAAAACATATAACACAACTACTTCTGCCCTGTAAGGCATTTTACATGGTCCACTTCAGGTCTTACCAATATGAAAGAAGTGTGTTAGAAACGTGTGTTAATACATCCATCCACCATTGATCTGCAGTAGACACATGTTGTTAACACAGCCAAGTGTTCCAGCCATGAGTGCTTATTCTCCACGTCGTAAAGTAAAATAGTCATGACTGGAAGCTGTTTCCGCGCTCTGTGGATCTCCGTGGGTTTTCGTATCACTTATCACAGAAATTTACGCAAGGTTGTTTAGCTAGAAGGTAGAGACTCTAATTAGATATTTAGTAGGACAGAAAAAAGGATAAAATGTATAGTATAGAAATTTTTTTCTTGTCCCAAAGTTCCTGAAGTTTACAGAACATTGTATTTAGATAAAAAGCTTTTAAAATCATACATGTAATTCATAGCTTTTCTTGTTTTTCGTGTATCCAGAAAGTTTGAGGATGGAAATTAAGAGAAAAATTTCACACCAAGAGCAGAGTTAAATTAGTTTTGTCTTTTCCAATTTCCAAAAAATATTGGCCTTCCATTTGCCCAAATGGAAAGAAGCTGCTTCGCCAAGTTTCCTATCCCAGATCTAGACTCTCTGTCTTTACCAGTGCGTATCCGCAGTGGGCTTTAGTATCAATACCATATATCTGCCGTGCTGGGATATTACTACAAGCTAGGCCCTGCGGTTTATATTGCTCACCAAAGCTATATCACGGTTTGAATGTGATGAGGACGTGCGAATCCTCGACTTGATGTTGTGCTTGATAGGATTTGGGGAACATCCTTCTAAAATTAAAGTGCTTTATATTCCGGTCGTTACATCTAAAGGCAGTGGGAACGTTTTTAAATGGTTCTTGTTTTCTCAGTGGAAAAAATAAGCAGAGGAAGGTGAAATAAGCAAGAAGTACGGAATAATTTTTAAAAATTGTCTCAGCTAAGTCTTCTTGAGAGAATTTGGGTGCATTTTTGCCACCAAAATATGAAGACCATAGCTTGCCAAGGACAGAAAAGAAAGAAAAGGGAAGTTCTGCTCCAGTACCAAGGACAGCCACTAGAAGCCCCAAAATTAACTTGACCTTCCTCTTCCCAAGAC